AATAATCTCTCGGGAATCGTGGATCTTGAGGCGTTCATTTTCGGGCAACGCATTGTCATAAGCAATCTGCTCAATGTTTGGTAAGCGAATTGCAAGCGTGAGAGATGGAAGCGAAAACCTGCTCCTCTGAAAGGCTCAAACGGCCTGTCTCTTCAGTAATGAAATCCGACACATGGATTGCCTTCCCCTGACCCTTCTTTCTCAATGGCATTTTCCCATCTGTCACCCAAACCCTCTGTTGAAGCTCATTGGACCTGAAGATACTCTCGTCGTGATGAACAGGTATGTGTTTCCGCTCTCGGTGCTCTGTGGTTCCGGGATTCAATATTGGCTGTACGATTTCTAGATCCTTATCGCCATACATATTCCGCAGGTGTTCGTTCTCGGCAATGGTGTTCAAGAATGTCTTGCGATAATCCACAACATCAGGTCTCTCGTGGCCATCGACATATATCCCCTTCTTCGCCGTGGTCAGCTCATACCCCAACCTCTTCAACCAATGTCTTGCACAGTTTTCAGAGATCGTGGCCTTGCCCAAATCGAGTCCAAGTCCTGGAATTATTGTCTCGTTAACTTCGCGCTGAAGTTTAATTGGGGATATCTGTCCATGTGCAGGTGAGTTATCTCATTCACGCTCGATAAGATATTTAATGTAACTAACCATTCCAGCTTCTTGAACTGTCAGATAACGTCGCACAGCCTGATATACTCGTTCATTGTTCAGGAGAGAGGGGTGGGCGTGGTGTTTTCCAGCTTTCGAGGGTGGAAGAGTGTGAAACTTGTTGATGTAAATGACAAGGTGCCGGATTTGGCGGGCGAGGTAAGGTCCCTTCCCCACGGACTTTGCAACCACAAGACTGGCTCGCATTGCAGGATTCTTGATGTTTGGGATGAGTCTGTAGCGCTCGTGTAATTCCAGATAGTTCCGGACAGCATGGAGCTTAAAGAGGGCACCGAAAGCCTTATGCTTCGTTGCATCCTTGATCAAACCCATAATGAGGGTGCCAGTGGGAATGTGCTCCGGTCCGAATTCATCATCTGCTGTCGGATCGAGAAAGGAGACTGCTGGCGGGTCTGGGTCTGTGTTAGGTAGAATGTCATCCAATGGCAGCTCCGAGTTGGCCACATCAGAGTCTGAGGTGTCAGATGCAGGAGTGACTGACAAATGCGGCTCTTCGTTGGGAATATCAACCCACTCTTCGTCCCCAGAGTCTGAGGAAGTGCCCTCAGATGAGCTGCTTTCGATTTCGAGCACCTCAATTGGGTGTTCGAGTCCGGTGGGTTTCAGAACTGATGTAAAAAATCCGCTGATCTTGGCCGATCCAGCAGCTGCCTTGCGTAAAGTGGCCTGTTTCTTGAAAGTGTTTGCACGGCTAGTGCCACCATAGCTACCCTTGCTTGTGAGCGGTGGTGGTGCTTTGAACAGATCAACAGGCTGAATTACAGTGAGTATCATCTCAAAATAACTAATTCTGCTTGGACTTACCTTCGAGAAATTTTCCTTCCAGAATGCTTCAGCCCCACTCAAGATTCGATGGGCTTCAAACTCCTCAGCACCTTTCTCATTCTCGTCTGATCCTTTGCCCTTATTGATGGCAGCCTTTCTCTTTATCCCCCCTTTTCCATTCCTTCTTTCCAAAACCTTTTCTTCCTCATCTTCTGAGTCTGAAACATCCACGGGATCAGGCACAGTCACTTCTGATATGCTCACAGCCCATCCACCATCACCTTCAAACTCTGAATCTGAGTTCAGATCTTCTTCATCAATCCAATCGGGGTCATTTTGATTATCTAGATTATTGATAAAACCTTTTTTGAAGAATTTCTCGCCTTGAACTCTCTGTGTTTTGGCCTGGCGAGCTTTCTTGTTTTTCAGAGGCATTTTGGACTGTTGTTTAGGAGTCTGACAGCTTCTAAACGCCTGAGGAAATATTTAATTTTTTCGGACCAAAATTGAGACAGATTATGTAATCACACGGCTAAAATTTTTATTGCGGAATCATGATCGTTCGACCAAGTTTCATTCTAAATTATAAAGGAAATCATAATCAAGCAAAATTTCCGCCTCTGGCAGAGTTGCCTACTCTTTCACTTTGGCACCGTACTACCTTCCTGTTGTGGCACTGAAGTATCTCAAAAGTAATGATACCACAACAGGAAGGTGGGGCTTAGTTGAGCTCTGGCACGAAACGTCTATCGTTTTGCAATTTGCTGTAATCAATGATCGTTTCTCTGATGACATGCATAGATATGAGATCAAATGTGCACTTGATCAATTGATGGCCTAGAATACACAATAATATCGAATTGGACTTCGCATACAGTATATGGCGCCTTCGCCTTGGACAAAAAATCTGATAAAGTGGCTACTTTCGCGAATGGGACCGTGACCAATTCCACATATAATTATTATGCCAGCGCGTGAGCCATGGGGCGACCTGGAATATATGCAGGTACCTATATATATACCACATAATGAGACGTTCAAATCGGGAGGTACTGTAACTACAGCCTCGACCTCAGCGATTCAAGGGACGGATCTAGCGGGTCTCAAACGTCTGTTCCGCTTCACGAACTTCAACTTGAAGCAATCTACGCGGTTGCGCCATGCCTGATTTCATGGATGGACACCATTTTGAGAGCACGCAGATGTTTTTAGCAAAATAAGTGTGCCAGTGGATGTATATCAGCTAACAACAAACGGCCCCCTTCCAAACTGACACATTTTCGAGGGGCTCCGGATCCTTGAACCGCCAAGTTAGCTTAGTTCCCCGCGGAACAACCGTTTCATCATCTCACTCACAAGCGCCGTGGGCTAATCTTGCTTTGCTAGCATCATGTCGTTTCCCAGATGCGATCATATACTTACTATGATATTCCGAGTCAACATACTAATCATGTGTAAGCTCCATCAATGATTTATGTCCACAGCCCTGACGCATCTAACATATAAACCAAGTCAACTCTCAACGTTATCTCTAGCTCTCTTTGTTCACGCTACATTACCAGGTGCTGGACAGTGCGTTTTGCGTTTTTCTTCACTTTTGACTGATTAATCCATGACTTTTTCCTCCTATTTTAGCCCACTTTGATTTGCTCCGTACTTTGTGTCCCTTCGTTTTGACAACCGCCAGTGAACGTAGTGCCAGTGAACACTCATTTTTACTAACAACCAACAACGTCATCTAATCCACGTCTAACAACAAAATGCGTCAGTACAAGATAATAGCTCGCATCCTCCTTATCCTTCCCATCATCAACTTCGCGTTTGCGCTTCCGTTACAAGAGACACGTCAAGTGCGCGGTAATGTGGTATCCGACGTCGCGATAACCATGTCAGCAAAGCGGGGTGATGAGATGGGAAAGCAATGGGACACGTACTTTAAAAGGTTGTCCGGGAAACCAGAGTCGTCGTCCGAGTCGGCCGCACATCCGCCGTCGGGCTCAGTGCGGTCGGATCCCGACGATGAGCCGATAAATGGGCCTGCATCGCCGCCGCAGAGCCCAGCATCCGAGTCGTCGACCGCACCTGACCACGGGTCGACGGATCCTCCTCAAATGGGCACGAGCGAGATTCAAGAGGAGTCGCCCGAAGAGCTGTCGAGAACACCGTCCTTGGATCATTATGTGATGTCGCCCGAGGAGCTGGAGAGAACTCCGTCCTTGGATCATTATGTGATGACGCCCGAGGAGCTGGAGAGAACTCCGTCCTTGGATCATTATGTGGTGTCGCCCGAACCGCTGTCAAAAACTCCGTCCTCCGATCATTATGTGGTGTCCGAGTCGCCCGAAGAGCTGTCGAGAGATCCGTCCTTGGATCATCATATGGCGTCGCCAGGGCCCGAAGCGCCCTTGGTCGACCATTCGGACACCGTGACAGACCCCGGGTCGGATTCGATTGAGAGTGCGGTGAGTGAGGGAACGGCGAATGAGGGTGCTGGGTCGTCGACGTCGACGCCGACGGCGGGTTCGTCAACGGAAAAGCCCAAGTCCAAGGGTTTTCTGACCAAGGCGGTAATGAAGAAGCTCCGCAAAATCAAGTTCTGGCGTCGCATTTCCGGCCCAGAGGGAGTTGCAAGGTCTGGTTGACAGTGGAGCGTACGTTTCTGCCTCACCCCTTCGAGTCAGAAATGTTCTAACTTTATGATTTCCCTCAGTACATTAGAAAATCCTTGAATGTTCCTCCGATCCGTGCAACTAGAGGCGTCGGCCGCCCTGCTGCTGGCCAGCCCTCATAATGTCTCAAAAAATTGTTCCAATGCTGGGTGTTCTAACACGCAGCATGCTCGAGAGTCTAAGACGAACGCGGAATATTGTTGTCCAGAGTTAGTCTTCGTTAGTTGGTAGTGCTTCTTTAGCGTATGTTGGTCTTTTGGTGCTGGAATCATCAATAAGGGTTCAGCGCTGTGCTGCTGTGATGTCCGCAAGCACGCGGATGAATACGGGCGAGCTATTCAGGGGCTCCGTGCAGGGCGGCCATACACCTCCGTCCTCGCACAGCCCCCTCCGAGTCATTAGTATTCCTTGATGAAATAAAGTGGGAACGAAAATGATCGCACCTCGCGTGCCTACCAGACTCCTCCCCATTTGTAAGATCTTATATGTGACCATGTTCGTGAACGTGAAGAGCACAGGCATCGACTCAGAGAGTATCTCTGATTTATGGTCCAGGTCCAGTCCCTAGGACCAGCTTGAACTACAATACGAGGCAGTAGGATTTTGCGAGACCCGGTCGGTCCTTTACTGCTACGACAATCACAGAAATGTACACCCAGGGCACAGTTGGTGTTAGAGGGCGACCGAGCACGTGCAGCCAGCCGCTCGGCTGATTAGATATATGTACGAATCAGGCGAGACAAAAAATCACAAATGAGCCAAATGGCAACGGAAGAAACTCATGCAATGAAACAGAACACTACCCAAGAACTGAGTATCAGAGTGTGACTTACCAGCAACATTACCCCAATATCAGGGCTGTTGGTAGCATTTGACAGATGTTGACACCGTGATGAGGTTCGAACCCATGCCTCCGAGTCCTGAATATGTACCAGGTGCTCTGACCACCGAGCTATCCTGCAATCAGTAAAAATAGTACCCCATTTCATCAAGTAGCGCTCAACAGTATAACAGATCGTACAGCGCACATCAACCACTGCTCAAGCGCTCAAGGCGAGATGCATGATGCGTGATGGTTGGAAAAATGAGTGAGGTCGTCCTTTTTCATTGTTTTTTTTTGGTCTATGGATCACATGAACGATCGCCTTACTGCGTCTCCTCAAGTCCCAACACCTTTGAGCGCAATACTTCGCGTGGGGTTAAGAGAGAAGGTAAAGGGGAATACATAAAAGGTTAGGATTTGGAACACCCATTATTGCGATAGAGCAGCGGGAACGACAGAATGGCGCAAGGCTTGGCGTGAGAAGAGAGCGGGAGCAAGGCATGTCAGAGTTGGGCGCCGGCAGTCGAGACTCTCGAGAGACAAGTACAAGCAAGGTTGAGTTGATGCAACTCGCGTGAGTCTAGGTGGATTCGACTGACTGTTTGCTGCCAGGATCTTGTGAAGGAAGAGAGTCCAGGGAATCGAATTGTCCCTGTTTGGGGCAGGCCAAGAAGGCCAAGCCAAGACTGCCAAGGAATGCGCTCTTCGATGGGGTCGATAGGGACACCCACACCTTCTCCCTCCCACAATGGGTCCGTCTCATTCCCCACCCAACCGTCCTCCCACTGACTTTGGTCTACCCAGTGGCTATCCCACCAACCCATATCTCACCTATCGTCCGATATTCGCCCGCTCGCTCCCCATCCAGCTTCTCGTCACAGGCATCACTCTCACTCTCGTCTCTGTTCTACTCATCCAACTCCTCTTCTCTGCTCCTTCTCATATTCGTATTGCACGCACAAACTTTTTCCTTCAAGTATCTGCCGCCCTCTCCTTACTCGCCTGGGAAATCGCTTCCATCACCCTCATCCTAAACGCATCACGCGATCAGAGCCAAAATTGGCCCTTCATGCTCGACTATGTTGCCTTTGATCTCCCCCCTCTCAATGATCCCCGCACCCACGGCTCGTGGTCAACTGGTGGATTAACTGCCTGGCTCTTCATGAATGCTGTAGTCTCGGTCCTTACCCAGGTATGTCATCTTGTCACGTCTCCCCACAATGACTGATATATGCATATTCAAGGCCACACACATACATTTCCTTACTCTCATGTATCCTTCCCGCCTTGAGGCCCAACTCATCTTTATCCTTCTCGGGCCACTCGCCATCGTCGCCGCATTGACCCAGTTTGCCGCGCTCAAGCCGCACCTAGATTTCGTCTCCGCCACGAGTAGTGTGCGCAATGTCTGCAATGCCACTCTCACCATCCTCTTCAGTATCTCCCTCGCCGTTTGGGGCTTTGTCGTGAATCGTAAGCAGGCCTGGCGCACAGACGGCGGTACCGCAGCCTTTGGTGTTGGCGCCATCATCCTTGCCCTCGCCTCTACTGCCATCACCATCGCCTACATCCCTTCGCGGGATCAGTACGAATGGGTTCCTGGCCTCACTGGTGCCATTGTGCTCTGGCAATCCTTCCTCGGCTGGTGGTGGTGGGTTGGCGCCGGCATGGGCATCAGCGAAGTCGATGAATGGCTGAAGCGCGCCGAGAAGCGTCGAAAACATCGTATTGCCCGTCAGGCACGCAGGGCAGAACGAAAAATTCGTTTCCTCGGCGCATGGAATACTATGACCGGCGGCGCTCGCGCTACCTCTGCCTCCTCCACTGCACTAGAGAGGACGCCCTCCGATATGAACGCAGTGCCTGAGGGGAATAACGTCGGTTCTGATACGGATTCCCTCCCTCCCTCCTCAAGATCCGATGACACCTCCACCAAGGGCCAGCCACCTGATAACAGGTATCGCCAAGCCGGCTGGTACTGGCCATGGAACCTTATGTGGATCACATACCGTCACATCCGCAATGCACACATCAGTGCCGCTCGCCGCCGTGCCCTCGAACGCTCCGAGCACATACGCGAGTCGTTTGGTGTCGATGGCTTGGTTGCGCACGTACCCGCGACATCCGGTTGGAATCTCGGTTCGTTCGGCGTGCGGGAAAGAGAGGCTAGGGAGGCCGCATTCGAGATGGAAGGCGTCGAGCGGCTGGTGCGTCGGAGTCGCGGTGGGGCTACTGCTGTGGCAGGGATGACGGAGCCGGAGGGAGAAGAAGAAGGGGAATGGAAGTCTGACCAGGGTGCAAGAGCGAGAAGACGTGAGATAGAGTCACATCGACAAGCAGGGACCGGTCAGACCCCAGTGGAGACCCACTCGTCGTCACCGTGGTGGTGGGGTCCCCTGAGGCGATGGCGACTGCAGGATACCACGGAATATTCGGAGCGTCACTGACATCCAAGAACGGCTACTGTTGCAAGAGTTGAAATTCTTCGGATTGGGCATGGGACTTCGCGTTAACTGCGGTGGGTCATGCAGGACCAATGGCCATACGCAAGTAATGTCGGAATCCCACCCCCTTCCCATGGATGCTGGCTTTTTTTTTGATACGCCACCGTTAGATCGGATTCATCTCTTCCAAATACAGCTTTGCCTTCCTACCCAAGATTGCGCCGCTGGGGAAAGTGACGACGGCCGAATTAGACTGACGACTTCTTGCTGGCCGTTCCCCTTTGCGAAGATGACGGCATCTGGCATCCCTCAACTCTGAACCCGCCCAGAACCCCAATATTCCCTATCTCCCAATCCAGGCTAAGAATAATGGAGCGGCCTTCTCGTTCTCTGCCTTGGAGCGCGTTCCTCCTCTCGCTCCTTCCTGAGAGCTGGGACGTATTGGGTCTGGATCTAGATGCGGCATGGACGCCGGACGCCGAAAGAAGTGTGAGCCCTGCGCTCTAACGTGGTCACCGCTGCCTCCTCGGATAACACTTCCTGCGCTAACGTCGGACCCCGAGCGACTGAGTACTCCCCTTCCTTTGACTTTCGCAGACGAGGCAGCTCGAGGGTGGATTCCTGGCGCGACGACGATGGAGATTGGGTGGATAATCCGTCTTCTTCATTATGTTTCAATAACTTGGTAACATGCATATATCATATCTTTCCCATCAGTATCCCAGAACCTCACCCAACTCACCCATGCGTTGTCACTCTAGCCTCTCGATATTCTCAACCGTGATTGACATACTTACTTTATCTGATAACCCGGCTAGTAGTTCTCCAACTCAGATTGCTTACATTTTTATGTCATTTCTATGTCCCAAATGCGTTGGTTGTCTCGCCACACTATAGATCCTAAATGCGATATGTATATATCTCTTCATGTCCACGATCTTCGCGTAAGGTAATTGTAAGGTCTGTGTTTCTTGCTGGTCCTTAAACTTAAGATGGCCTGGGCTTGCCCAAGCTTTGTTGGTCGATTCCATTAGTTATTTGCCACTGCATTCATCCTCCCATATGATATCTATTGGATCAAATAACCACGATGCTACTTTTATACTTTATAAGGGTATACGAAGACATTAGACAGCATCTCACACGATGACAGATACACAATAGTGCCAAGAAAACCAGTAGTTAAAAAAAAGTCCCTTTTTTACTGTAAGTTAATACCGATCATTGTTTTCTAACCGGACCAACTCGGCCGCGAGCTCGACGAGCACATCCTCCGCGTGGGGATTCCGTGGGAATTGCGTGCCCGTACCACAACTGTTCCCGCCCCACACTAATCTAGCCACCCACGCGGCAAACCAGCGGGGTTTTGTGCTGGGTCCTGTCGATGTTGTTCCAAATACTTGTGTGGTGTTGCGCCTCCAGCCGACGTCGTAGAGTCGTAGGCGAGCATGGGCAGTGCGGACGGCGCGGCGCTGTGAGAAGGCCAGTTGGTGTTCTTGGGGGGGACTTGAGAGGCGGGAGGGAGGGAGGGGAGGGAGATGTCGGAGGAGATGGAATGGGGATATGTATTCGAGTGTCGTTTGATTCGTGCTGTTGTAGAGAAAGAAAGTGGCGTTTAAATGTCAGGATTAGGTGTTTTTGTTGTCGTGAGGAAGGGGAGGGGAGGAGCAGCAGACGCACAGGACGAGGTAGATATGATAGCCGAGGAAGGAACCCATGACGAGCGTGAATACGCATCCGGCAAAGGAGAGAATTAGCATGTGTACGGGCGTTATTTCATTCTAGCAGAGGAGGTTCGAGTAGATTCATGACGCGAGGCGAGATAACATAACGTACGATCGCAAGTGGTTTGCTAAACGCAAAAACGAGCCCTCGGATGCATACCACAGAGATGTATGCTGCCAGGAAGGTGACGGATGCGAGGAAGTGAAGGAAAGAGGGGTAAGTCCGGAAGCCCTGCAGAGCAATGTTCAGTCTCCCGCGCGCAGTGCGTGATTACTCCATGGAGTTGTACGGGGCGGCGGGGTGTCCGTTTGATTCAGTAACGGCAAGCAACGACGCACGATGCATTTTGCGCCCATCCAGGGACAGTGGTGGTCTAATAGCGATGTTCCGTGCGCAGAAAGGACAAGTAGTGTGAGTGCGGTATATCCATTGACAACAAGAGGGCACGCACCCATTTTAAGCACACAGCGCCCACACTGGGAGCAGTGGTGCGTACGCTCGGGCTTCGGCCTCCAGCAAATACGACACCACCTTCCCGGCTGCGTGTAATCGTCCGAAGGCAGCGCGGTACTGAGCAGCGCATCTTCGATACTAATTTCGTCTCCACCATCTCCCCCACCGCCACCACTGACACCACTGACATCCTCCGATTTGGGATCTGGGACCGGACCCGGGTCGCGTGCCACGCAGACGATGAGCGAGCTGAAGGCGAGGAAGGAAAGGGCGTAGATGATGAGGAGGTGCGCGACGAAGTATAATGGGGCGCGCAGAGTCAGATAGTGGTAGTTGAGTAGGACGTGCAGGATGGATGGATGCGGTGCGAGGAGAAGTAGGACCGCGACTGTCGCGCGGGTGGAAATCACTGAGCACGGAAGAAGGAAAAAAGATGGATTATAGGCAAACTCAACTGCATAATGGAACGTAGTGGAACCATCGACGGGGGTTTCCCGGACGGTCGTCTTCGTCGTCT